AATGTATGGCATATAAATGGAAATCAGCAATGAAATGGTTATGTAAACTAAATAAAATTAAGTTTAATACACATGACAATGTTTCATCAGTTAAATTATTATTTCAATTCACTGGTAATAATCCAGCTAAATTAATCTTGAAAGGTAACTTCCAATTAGCATGCATGAGCAAAAAGAGCATGGCGCATGGTGATTTTTTACATTGTTTAGCTTTCCGTGTCCAGAGGAGACCAAGATTGTGCCATCTAGTTATTAAAATTAACCTCAAAAATACTGATGTAATTAATACAATTCCCAGTGAATCACAGAAATGTTCTTTATCTTGAGAGAAATGTGGGTTACACAGATGGATCCATTTGTTAAAAATGCTACAGTTAATATTGGTGCATTTCAATTTGTGTAAACATGACCTTAAGAAAAGAACTATGCAAAACTGAACATTGACTGGGAGGCATAAAACAGAGGAAAAGGTAGAGAAGAAACAAGACAGAACGTTGTGAAGTTGGGATATGTGTACGTGGAAGTTTATGCTGTTTACTTTGCATATGTTGAACTTTGTCCATGATAAAAAAATTTTAAATGAATTAGTCCTTGTGAGACGGGTTTATAAAAGCAAAGTCAATTCAACTCTACTTTAGCAAATCCAAGCAACTGAGAAGCATTTTCCTGAAGGAGTCTAATGCAATCCACTTTCCAAAAAGGGAGTTTCTTCACATACCCAACTGACATCTCTTTGGGTTACATTAAGATATTACCTTCTGCCCCTCCGCGGGCGGGGGCCAAGGCGGTGACTCGCGGCTGGAGCCCGGGGTTGCGGGTGGGGGGTGGGGAGGGGGGGGCGGGTTCTCCGCTCGTGAGTCCTGCGTCTGCCGCCGCGGTGCCGAAACCCGCAGGCTGCTGATTATCCTTAGCCGCGGCCACGGCCGCAGCCTCTGTACTTCGGCCTCGGGCTGCCGACGCCTGAGAGCGCTCCTCCTGCGGCCACGGCCGCCCAGAGCAGAAACGGCCTGCACGGGGACACACAGATCTCTGTAGTCGGCCTGGGAGTGGCCGCAGGGGTTGGCATCTCGGCCGCCTTCCAGGGGAGTGAGTTGGCAGCACCGGCCGGCCTCAGCATCATGCCCGCGCTGGCCACAGGCTCAGGGAGTGACGCAGGTCTGTATGAGCTGTTGGTGGCTCTGCCAGCCCAGCTGCAGCCACATGTGGACAGCCAGGAAGACCTGACCTTCCTCTGGGATGTGTTTGGTGAAAAAAGCCTGCATTCACTAGTCAAGATTCATGAGAAACTTCACTACTACGAGAAGCAGAACCCCGTGCCCATCCTCCAGGGTGCGGCAGCCTTGGCCGATGATCTGGCGGAGGAGCTTCAGAACAAGCCATTAAACAGTGAGATCAGAGAGCTGTTGAAGCTACTCTCAAAAACCCAATGTGAAGGCTTTGCTCTCTGTGCATGACACTGTGGCTCAGAAGAATTATGATCCTGTGTTGCCTCCTATGCCTGATCACATTGACGATGAGGAAGACTCAGTGAAAATCATCCGCATGGTCAAAAACAGAGAACCGCTGGGAGCCACTATTAAAAAGGATGAGCAGACTGGGGCCATCGTGGTGGCCAGGATCATGAGAGGAGGAGCTGCAGACAGAAGTGGTCTTATTCATGTTGGCGATGAACTTAGGGAAGTGAATGGGATACCGGTTGAGGATAAAAGGCCTGAGGAAATAATCCAGATCTTGGCTCAGTCTCAGGGTACAATAACATTTAAGATTATACCCAGCATCAAAGAAGAGACACCATCAAAGGAAGGCAAGATGTTTATCAAAGCCCTCTTTGACTATGACCCTAATGAGGATAAAGCAATTCCATGTAAGGAAGCCGGGCTTTCTTTCAAAAAGGGAGATATTCTTCAGATTATGAGCCAAGATGATGCAACGTAGTGGCAAGCAAAGCATGAAGGAGATGCCAACCCCAGAGCAGGACTGATTCCCTCTAAGCATTTCCAGGAAAGGAGACTGGCTCTGAGACGACCAGAAATATTAGTCCAGCCCCTGAAAGTTTCCAGTAGGAAATCATCTGGTTTTAGAAGTTTCCGTCTTAGTAGAAAAGATAAGAAAACAAATAAATCCATGTACGAGTGCAAGAGGAGTGACCAGTACGACACAGCCGAAGTGCCCACGTATGAGGAAGTCACACCCTACCGACGGCAGACGAACGAGAAATACAGATGTGTCGTCTTGGTTGGTCCTGTTGGAGTAGGTTTGAATGAACTGAAACGAAAGCTGCTGATCAGTGACACGCAGCACTATGGTGTCACAGTGTCCCATACCACCAGACCAAGAAGAAGCCAGGAGAGTGATGGTGTTGAATATATTTTCATTTCCAAGCATTTGTTTGAGACAGATGTACAAAATAACAAGTTTATTGAATATGGTGAATATAAAAACAACTATTATGGCACAAGTATAGACTCAGTTCGCTCTGTCCTGGCAAAAACAAAGTTTGTTTGTTGGATGTTCAGCCTCATACAGTGAAGCACTTAAGGACACTAGAATTTAAGCCGTTTGTGATATTTATAAAGGCTCCATCAATAGAGCGTTTGAGGGAAACAAGAAAAAATGCAAAGATTATCTCAAGCAGAGACGACCAAGGTGCTGCAAAGCCCTTTACAGAAGACGACTTTCAAGAAATGATTAAATCTGCCCAGATAATGGAGAGTCAGTATGGTCATCTTTTTGACAAAACTATAGTAAATGATGATCTTGCTGTGGCCTTCAATGAGCTGAAAACAACTTTTGACAAATTAGAGACAGATACTCATTGGGTTCCAGTGAGCTGGTTACATTCATAACTATGGGAAGTTTTTATCTTTTTTTTTGTAGAGTGCATGATTAAATCAGTTATCATTTTGGTGGTAGGGTTTTTTTTAAATCTGTATCACTGTTAGAGATGTGCAATCTTGGTTAAAATTGAATGTTGGTTTTGTATCTTTTTATAGTCTTATTTCAAACACATGTTTGAGTATAAGATCCAGAATTAAAATGTGCACAGTACTGTATTCTGAGCAGAAAAAAAAAAAAGATATTACCTTCTTTCTATTATAGCAACCAATGCTCTCACAGACACTTCAATGATCTAATTTGATTTTTATACATACTGTACTATTAATAAGTGAAATGTTTTAAAATGAAAATAATTTAATAAGCTGTATTTGAGGATGCCTGCAGGCAAAGAGAGTAAATAAAGAACTCTGTGGATGCCAGAGATGGCATTAAGTTGGAATCAGAACTCAGAATGTCCACTGAAAGCAGAAAGCATTTAGGACTGAGCTACAAATAATTTTGTTTCAGAGAAGAAGCTAAACCCATCCAAGATGTTTCTGATTGTTGGTTTTACTTTATCAGTGTTATTTCATTATTCAAATGCTCAGGGGAGTCTGTTTTCAGCAACATTTACCAAGTGAACAATGGAGGCTGGTGACAGTGATCTTAATTTTATCTTTCTGGGTATAAAGAGTTGCTTTTCAACTGTAAAATGATTTCATTTGTTCAGAATTTATAATTTATTTAGCTTTATTTTAGCTAGAGTTGAACTATTCACTCCTTACCTGAAGTGAATTTTGCTTGAATTCAAATCATTTCACCTCTACATAAATACAAAATCATTCTGAAGCAAATTATATTTGGTATTTTTGTATGCTTAGATATGCACTGACCCATTTATTGCATTCTCAGGAAATATAGAGAGATATTTTCCAGTTCATCTGAGCAGAAATTGGTGAGATAGGAATGAACATAGTCATAATGAACTATCACTGAATTTCAGGGTATCCACTCAAATATAATCCACCTTTCACACTACATTATTTGGTCTGTATTTATAGGATCAAGTGTTATCCTTGTTGTGAAAGAATGGTAGAGGTGATTCTTGAATGTTTGTTTTCTACATTGTATTATGCCCTTATAACAGGGTAATACATTTGGACTTTGACTAATTAATACACACAGCAGGGAAATTTGACCAAAAAGTTACAATAAAATGAACAACCCTGATAAAATCATGGCCATCTCTACCAATATAAAAATGAAATGGATTCCTAAAGTGCTTACTTATGACACATACCAGATTACTCCTGGTCCCTCTTTTAAATAATTAAATTTGATTTGATACTTCTATAATACCTATTTCTTGGCCTCAATTTTCCTAGCCTAAGTGTTCCCTTTATTGTGCAAGTGTGACCACAAAACAACGGTAAGTATGTTGTTCATTCCATTTTATTAGTCATACAGTTTAGAGAAATAAGTGTTTAAGATCGATCTTGCTGACCAACTTTTACATTTTGTATAGTGTGTCAGTGGGACAATAGTATACTTGTCAGATTCAGAAATTACACTGCTCCTCAGAGATAAACTGCACTACCAATGAATAAAAGTTGGTTATAGGAAGTTTACATTACCTGAGGGAATGACTCTGAAATGTGTTAGTATGTATCAGAATCCTTAAAGAGAAAGATTGACTTACACATTTGTTAGTACAGCCAGAAGGCCAGAACATTCAAGTTATGAAAAAGAAAAAAATCCCAAGACTCCCAGATAAGTCTTCATGCACGTGATTCACTCACTGCAGCCTGAGAAACTCAGAGTTTTCCTTAAAACCTTTATAAAGTTTACATTTTGGATGTGGTGTTGACCTGCAGCACCCCCACGAAGTTACTCATTTGAACGCATGGTGGCAGTGCAAGCTAAGAGTGGATAAAAACTCTGCAGACTCGGTGGACTCCATTTCAGAGAAGCCGAAAAAAAAATATAGAACTCATTTACAGGTAAAGCTAAGACAGAAGTGTTCGGGGTGCAGTCGCTGCCAGACGAGTTACAGGAACGAATCTGAAATTCTGGAGCAGACATTTTGAAGGGTCAACAGTGGACATAGTCATTGGGATTGGAAAAAGGTTTTTCCTCTGGAACGAGACATAACAATGGAAATGGTGCAAACGAAACTACATCAGAAGAAAAGGCAAGTGATGATCTTCATTACATTGATTCTTTCGTGGGAGGCAGGTTCAGAATCGATTCGGTATTCTGTACAGGAAGAGACAGAAAGTGGCACGTTTGTGGCCAACTTGACAAAAGACCTGGGACTCAGGATGGGAGAGCTGGCTGCCCGGGGCGCCCGAGTTGTTTTTAAGGGGAATAGACAGCATTTGCGGCTTGATCCAGACACCGGTGATTTGCTGTTGAATGATAAACTGGACCGGGAGGAGCTGTGCGGCTCCACTGAGCCCTGCGTGCTACCCTTCCAAGTGTTACTGGAAAATCCCTTTCGATTATTTCAGGCTGCCTTGGTAATTAGTGATATAAATGACCACGCCCCAGAGTTCCCTGCTAGAGAAATGCAACTAAAAATATCAGAAATTACTATACCAGGTAAAGTATTTCCTTTGAAAATGGCACAAGATTTAGACGCTGGTAGCAACAGCCTTCAGAGCTACATAATCAGCTCCAACCCTCACTTCCACATTCTCACTAGAAACCGCAAGGATGGGAGGAAGTCCCCGGAGCTGGTACTGGACAAAGCGTTGGATCGTGAGGAGCAGCCAGAGCTCAGGCTAACCCTCACAGCGCTGGATGGCGGGTCTCCGCCTCGGTCTGGGACCACAGAGATTCAGATCCTGGTTTTGGATAGCAATGACAACGCCCCCGAGTTTGCTCAGGAGTTCTATGAGGCTCAAGTCCCTGAAAATAGCTCCCTGGGCTCTCTGGTTATCACTGTCTCAGCGAGAGATTTAGACGCAGCATCATTTGGAGAGGTATCTTACGCCCTATTTCAAGTCGATGACGTTAACGAACCCTTCGAAATTAACGCAAATACAGGAGAAATTCGACTAAAAAAGAAATTGGATTTTGAAGAATTTCAATCATATCAGGTGGATATCGAGGCTACAGACGGTGGGGGACTATCAGGAAAATGCTCTGTAATCATCAAGGTCCTGGATGTGAATGACAATGCTCCCCAACTGACTATGTCCTCACTGACTAGCCCCATCCCTGAAAACCTGCCAGAGATCATAGTGGCAGTTTTCAGTGTATCAGATGCTGATTCTGGACATAACCAACAGGTTATCTGTTCTATAGAAGACAATCTCCCCTTTGTTTTAAGACCGTCAGTTGAGAATTTCTACACCTTGGTAACAGAAGGCGCCCTGGACAGAGAGGAAAGAGCCGAGTACAACATCACCATCACGGTCACTGACATGGGAACCCCCAGACTGAAAACCGAGCAAAACATAACCGTGCTGGTGTCCGACGTCAACGACAACGCCCCCGCCTTCACCCAGACCTCCTACACCCTGTGGGTCCGCGAGAACAACAGCCCCGCCCTGCACATCGGCAGCGTCAGCGCCACAGACACAGACGCGGGCGCCAACGCACAGGTCACCTACTCGCTGCTGCCGCCGCCCGACCCACACGTGCCCCTCGCCTCCCTCGTGTCCATCAACCCCGACAACGGCCACCTCTTCGTCCTCACGTCCCTGGACTACGAGGCCCTGGGGGCCTTCGAGTTCCGCGTGGGCGCCGCCGACCGCGGCTCGCCCGCGCTCAGCAGCCAGGCGCTGGTGCGCGTGCTCGTGGCGGACGCCAACGACAACGCGCCCTTCGTGCTCTACCCGCTGCAGAACACCTCGGCGCCCTGCACCGAGCTGGTGCCCAGGGCGGCCGAGCCCGGCTACCTGGTGACCAAGGTGGTGGCGGTGGACGGCGACGCGGGCCAGAACGCCTGGCTGTCGTACCAGCTGCTCAAGGCCACGGAGCCCGGGCTGTTCGGCGTGTGGGCGCACAGCGGCGAGGTGCGCACGGCGCGGCTGCTGAGCGAGCGCGACGCGCCCAAGCAGCGGCTGGTGGTGCTGGTCAAGGACAACGGCGAGCCGCCGCTGTCGGCCAGCGTCACGCTGCACGTGCTGCTGGTGGACGGCTTCTCGCAGCCCTACCTGCCGCCCCCGGAAGCGGAAGCGGCGGCCGCGGCGCCGGCCGACCCGCTCACCGTCTACCTGGTGGTGGCCTTGGCGTCGGTGTCGTCGCTCTTCCTCTTCTCGGTGCTGGTGTTCGTGGCGGTGCGGCTGTGCAGGAGGGGCGGGGCGGGCTCGGCGGGTCGCTGCCCGGTGCCCGAGGGCCACTTCCCGGGCCACCTGGTGGACGTCAGCGGCACGGGGACCCTGTCGCAGAGCTACCAGTACGAGGTGTGTCTGACGGGGGACCATAGAACTGGTGAGTTCAAATTCCTGAAGCCGATATTCCCTAACCTCTTGGTTCAGGACACTGAGAGAGAAATCAAGGAAAGCCCCAACTGTAGAAACAGCTTTGTATTCAGTTAAATGTCGTATTTGGTTAAGTGAGCCTCTCCTTAATTTTGGCAAACCTAATTCCCATTGCAATACCTTTCTCTTAAGAAGTTGTACTGTTGTACAAATATATATATATAGGGCTTCCCTGGTGGCTCAGTGGTAAAGAACCTGCCCACAATGTAGGAGATCCAGGTTCGATCCCTGGGTCAGGAAGATCCCCTGGAGAGAGAAATGGCAACCCACTCCTGTATTTTGGCCTGGAGAATTTCGTGAACAGAGGAACCTGGCAGGCTACAGTTCATGGGATCATAAGAGTCAGACAGGACTGAGTGATTAACACACACAAATATATATATATATATATATTACAAAGCTATGCATGTCTCTGTGCTAATTGGATTTAGCATTTTTAGTTGTACTGGATATTGAGTATGTATTTTCTCCATATTTGACCTTCTCTTGGTGATTAATCTTTCCATAACTATAAATTACTCAAGTAGTATAAAAAGAAATTCTATTTATATTTAAATCAACTTCTTAGTTTATGTCTTTTCAACGAAACATTTTAAAGCTCCTGTGTAGTCTTGCATTTCTGTATGTTTTTGGTGCTTTTCTTTATCATACAGCTTTCTATTTGCAAGCTAGTGTTTGAAATTCTTTGTAACTATCTAGACCGTTCTTGTTGACTATTCTATAAAGCTATGGCCCCTGAATAGCCATGAGCATAGCTTACCATACTTGTTTCTCCAAAACTGTACATAAACATGCACTTTATTAAAGTAGTCATACACTACAATTTTGGCCATATCCCATTGTGAGCACCAATATGCTAGAGATTTATCTCTCTTATTTGTCTGCTAATTACCTAGCACATTGCAATTGCTACATAAATACTAATATTAACATAAAATTATTCGAATAATAATTAAAAAGAAAAATCTTATAATTTGGCATTACTTCACTAAATAAAACTAAGTCACTGCTTTTTAAATTATTTTTTTAAAACACAGAACCTTTAATGCACTCTAAATCATTTCAAAGGACTCAAGAGGTAGAGGGCATCATATACTGCCTTGTCCTTTCTTTTGCCCTATAGAAGTTCAGATGTAGTTTAGTGTATGTGTTTTTCTTGGTTTCCCTGAAGTTTCTCTGCACCTGCAAAAGAGTAAGAATTTCTTCTCAGTTTTGGTTATTCTGTTCTAGTCTGGTTATTGAGTGATAATAGATTTTCACTTTGTTATTCTGCAGACATAGACAGTCTTTATCAACAAAACAGTGATCTATTTTTTATGTCCAAGTTATCTTCTTTTGTTCTTCTATGTAGCTTTCAGGCATTTTGCAAAGTAGTTTTTTCAATTATGCTAAACTTTCATTAGTAAGAAATAAGCATTTTTTCCCTTTAAGACAACAAGAATAGAAATATAAACTAAGATAAGAAATAAACTCATCTGGCATTGCAATTGCTTTATATTGTGTTCATTAAACCAAGGAAGCCATGTGATTTCCAACTAAAGTTATAGGGATATAACTACAAGGCCACTTATATCTATTAAAGAGCTTGCTTTATAAGTTTCAAGTATCACTCTACAGGAATTTAATTATTTGCATCTTTCCCTGAATTATATTTTTTCTAAGGATGTAATGAAAAAAATGAAAATTACTCTTAAAGTTATCATTGAACATATCTTTTCACCTTCATCCAATCTAATACTTGAAATTAGAAAGTGGTGAGAACAAAATTAAACAAATGACATAAATATTGTATTTAACTTTAATGATGCCTCCATTTACTGTTAGATATTTAAATGAAATAGTTTAATGTATGATGACAAGAAATCTGATTAAAGTTCTCACTACTGTATCTATTTCACCACTATATCTCAACATTATGAAAAAAGTTAGTTTTTGTTTATGCCAGGAAAGTCCAATTTGTATAATTACCTAAATGAGTCTGGGAAAATAAACACTGAGAACCCACCTTTATTAACTTATATATGTTTTTTAAATTTCTATGTGTATTAATTTATAAATTACTGTGTATATTCATAAAGTATGGATCATTGCTTACTAACTGGAGATCACTACCAGACTTTGGTGTAGACCTCATCAACACTTTATTTTTTTTCTCATCAACACTTTAAAATTCAATTAGAATTTAGTAGTAAATATGATCCAGCTAACTTCCACAAAATGAATATCTCATGAAAAACAGGCCAGTTCTATTGTTGCAAAATAAAAATAGAAAATGGGAGCCAAATATCTGGATAATAATACCCATTTCAATCACTTTCTCGAATGTATTATATATGTTTATTTTTAACAATTCCTCTTTCATCATTTTTTATGCAAAGTATATAGTATGTTTAGGGCTTCCCAGGTGGCAATAGTGGTAAAGAATTCACCTGCCAATGCAGGAGATGGAAGTTCAATCCCTGGGTCACGAAGATCCCCTGGAGAAGGGAATGGCAACCCACTCCAGTATTTTTGCCTGGAGAATCCCATGGATAGAGGAGCCTGGTGGGCTCCAGTGCACAGGGTCGCAAAAAGTCTGACACGACTGGTATCAGAAGTGACCTAGCACACACAGTGTGTTTAACATATGCTGTTTTGGGGATGGAAATTCTACTTAAGTCAACACGGCCCACATCACCTTTCAGAACTCCTCTTCCTTATGGCCAAAAGTTACAAAATACAGATTTTAAATAATCTCAGATTTTAAGTTTTACACATATTTGGTTGTATTCTGTTTCAAGTTAGAAGAATTATTTAACAGCAGAAGACAACTTTTTTTTCTTCTTTCACTTTCAAACAACTGTAAAACTTGGTTAAAATTCAGAAATTACTAGTTTGAAGAAACAGTAGATCATATACAAAGAACTGAAGGGGCTGAGTAAGCTTCCTGAAAAGGAAACTTCTTGAGAGCTCTGAACTGACTCCTACAGTCAGTTTGCCCTGAGGAA